CCCCATGCTGTGCCAAAGGAATACAGTATGTGGTAGAACTAATGAAAAAAGATAAGGATAAGGATGGGGGGAGGGGCACAGTTAGGTTTGAATTTGTTTCACTAAGATTTAAATTCATGATCATTCTAATTTTTGGCTAGCTTGTGCACTCCTACTTCATACATACACAGTGTACTCTGCCTGCTTCATAAACTCAGTATGATAATGCTGTGCCAAAGGAATACAGTATGTGGTAGAACTAATGAAAAAAGATAAGGATAAGGATGGGGGGAGGGGCACAGTTAGGTTTGAATTTGTTTCACTAAGATTTAAATTCATGATCATTCTAATTTTTGGCTAGCTTGTGCACTCCTACTTCATACATACACAGTGTACTCTGCCTGCTTCATAAACTCAGTATGATAATGTAAACAAATCTTTCCCCTGAAGTTTCAATATCGAATCCATCGCTTCCTGCACTAAATTGTTGTGGTGACTTTTCAATGACCCTCATTTGTAGAACATTTAGCAAAACCCCTTCAGAGCTATTTCCATGAAAGGTAGGATAAACACATAAGTGGTCATATGTAATCTGAAAATGATAATGTGTCAACAGGCTGTGTTCAAGAGATTTTATGGGTAGTGGGTCACGATTTAAGAAAATCCCACTTTGATTGGGATTGTTTCTGGTCAAATAGTATAACTTTCCCCATCAAAACAAAAACCAGTGGGAGGCAGCTGGATAGGCTGAATAGGCACTGAAGTGAAGACTGTCAAGCCTCCCTTAGCAAGTGACTATGTTGGGTTTTAAGGACTGCATATTTTGAATAATATAGCACTTCTCCCCCACAGGTCTCAAGCATCCATGGCAAAGGGAACCTGCTTCCATTCTGAGAATCAATCAGTGTGTTCCCTATACATGGCACACAGGAAGATCCCAGTTCCAGGTAGCTCTGGGTAGGATGCAGTTTGTTGTTCCCCCATCACTGTGGATAATCTACAGATAATGCAGCAGAACCTAACACCATATTTAAGCTATTCAATAGCTTCTCACAGATAATTCTGCTAAATCAAAGCACCAATCTAAAAAACCTAGGCCAGGTCTACACTGTAGAGCAGTGGTCCCCAACGTTTTGGGGCTGCCGGGCGCCTGGGGGCGGGGCCGCTCACGCGCTGTGCGTATGGGGGCGGGGGCGCTCACAGGCCACGTGACTGGGAGCGGGGCCAAGCATGCGCCGCACGCCCGAGGTTGGCACCAGCATGTGCTGCGATCCCAGGCAGGGGCTGCCCAGGTTCTGCGTGGCCGGGGCCGGTGCGGGCACGCGTGGCGCCCCCATGGGCG